GAGATCCATAGAGTTTTAAATTAATCTGGCTGTGACCACTACGAGTTAATCAACTTTGATTACATTCGTGTCAGAAAGCAGATTTTCCTTTTAAATCAAAGAGTGAAAAACTTTTGCTATCAGAAAGTTACTGTTTTCAGTCCATGAAGAAATAATTAAGATGAATGTTCTCCTAATAACAGATGCAGTGTAGCTTCCAGGAGAATATTGAGCCGGCTTGTGTTGCGTTTACTCTGGAAAGAAGTGAAATCTGGCAAATATGCCAGGTTACAGAGGGTGAAGTGGATTTAAATTGACCTTATCTTTGTGTGCATGCATGCTCATACATTAATGCCTCCGTGCATTTGTGTATTCATGTGTCTGTGTTTACTTTTAGATCTGTGTGTTTGTGTGAGTGAGTGCCAGAGAGTGAGAATGAGCCTCAGACAAGAAATCTAAATTCTTGTCCAGTGAGTGTTTAAATGCCGCCTTATATAAGATTTCTTTTCTTTTTTCTTTTTTTTTTAAACAGTCTGTGTGTGCAATCAGGAGAAAACAGAGAGAGTGAACAGAGGGAGGACTTAGGGCAGCAGAGGTAGAGTGGAGGGGAGGAATGAATGGAGTGCAGCAGGGGAAAGAAGGAAGCAACCGACCGACCGACGTCACCACCTTTAATCCCTGCAGCTAGCGGGGCACAAAGCACAAATATAAACAGGTAGGAGCAGAGCATAGGAGATATGAAATAGGAAAAGGAAGGAGAGATTAGAGGAGAGGGATGAAGGAGAAAAGAGGATAAATGACATCGTAGTCAGGTAAATGAGTGTTTCGAGAACTCCAGTGTTTACCAACAACAAAGCTGCTTCCTAAAAGTCCCTGGTGTGTATTTATCTTTGAAGGACTAGAAATGTCCCAGCGCTTTGTGTGTGAACTGTCTCTTAACAGCCTGTTTGTTTTTACATTATTGTGGGTTTGGCTATATGTTAAGAAAACAGGTCATTAAGCATCAGTGTATCATTAAGCATAAATGTTAAGCCATTTGCATGTATGTGTGCATACAAATGGATCTGTGCGTTTATGTGTGTCCCTGTGAGTGTTGTGGGAGTCTCTTGGTGTCAGAATCATTGATCTGATCATAACTCTGGCTCTGTCACTATGGATACGCATCACTGATCAAAAGCAACACTCGCTCTTCCTGTATCTTTTTCTGTCTCTGTAAGACTGGCTTCAGGGGGAATCAGGGCACCGTGAGGACAGCGCGCACCTGTTTGTTTGTGGATAATAAAAATTATATCTTTAAAATATATTTTCCTTCCTTTGAAATATCTTTTTATGTGCTTCTCTTACTGTCTGATTGTTAAAGTAGTGAAACTTGAATGGGAAGGAATGAATTGAAAGAGCTAGGATGCCAAATAATGAATATAGACTGTCTAATTTAAGAGCATAAACATTCTAAATGGGTACAAGTATATTAGTTTTCTTGCATGTGACGTCATCAACCCGGTCTCACTCCGGAGTTGTCGAAAACTGCCACTTGGTCACTGACTTCAGCCGTCAGACACCGATGAAAAAAGCTGTCTTCTTACGTCAGCATGATACACGGCCAGTTGCCATTATAGTTTAGAAATGCCCAGCAGCATCAGGAGGAAACACGGCGGGACAACAACAAAAATAAAGGCAGCTGAAGTCCGAGTAGGGAGGGCAGGAGGGGTATAAAAACCACTGACTTCTGCTTCCAGTAAGATTGTAAAGCCATACCTTGCTCTTTTTTCCTAAACCCAACCATGTGCTGTTGTTGTCTAAACCCAACCACAAGCAAGTGTTGGCAAAATGTGACCACACATGTTAGTTGTTGAAGGGAGAAAAATGTCACTTTGAGGTGTTGTCCAGGCGTAGTGCATTTATTTTGAAAGAGACCATATGTAAATGGTACATTTCCTGTGAAAACAGAAGCGTATTTTGGAAACCGACAACAACACATAACAGGCAGAAGTTGACACTGCATCCCAGAAAGTCAACGACCAGCGCACCCAGGGTACCTTTCACTTCATATGCAGAGGTGGAAAGTAGGCCTACATGACCAAATTTCGATATGTGACGAGGTTGAAGTGAGAATGTGTTGACATGGGAGATGTTTAAAAAAAACACACTGAGAAACAGCAGCAAATGGGTATCAAAAACCTATGTCTTCATTTTGGAGGAGCAGAGTCAACTAATTTCAAACATAAATGTTAAAGCATTGTATTAAACAGGCCTTGAGTTGAATGCAGTTACAATGTCCTGTGACAACTTCTCCATGTTTTTAGCCACAACCCAGATTGTTTACTACATTTCACCAGACCTCTGGGAACAGTTGATCTACTACGTAGAAAATAGTAGCTAAAGTTAGCTAACGTTAGCTAGTAATATTAGCCTGACCATGGTGCATCCATGTACATAGTTGAAATACAAAAGACAGTTATTCTCAAGCACATTTACTCACCCAGCCAAAACCAAAAAAGCTGTCATTTCAGCCGTGGACCCAACTGCACACAGAATAGTTTTAGTCCAGTAGACTCTTGTACGCTTTTATCGACTTGCAATGTAAGGTTAGTAACTTCAGGAGGTCTGGGAGATGAGGTAATTTGTAACAACGATTGTGTCCACTCTGGGCAAAACGGTGTAGTTAATGGAAAAACCACTTTTCTTCATTTTGTATGGATCACATCCAACATGAGTTTCAATTTTCTGACGATACCTGACAACCTGCAGGTGCATCCAACCTTTTCATATTGTCACTAACCTCTATATCTAATTCATGCAGTATATACATTTATCACTCCCTGCCCTTCATCTGAATTTTGTGCGTCATCGCAGTCCCATGATTGCAAACGAGCTATTTCCTGTTGGAATATTGGTTAATGCAGTAGCTGACAGGAGGTAAACAGGGACCAAAGCTGTTGCCCTAGGAACAGAGTAGCAATTAAACTGTCTTTAAAGTGGAAAGTCAGACAACAAAAATAGATTTGCACAATCCACATATGCACATACTAATTGAATTTCTGTTTTTTTTTTTTTTGCTTTTGTTAAGACCAGTCCTTGCTTACACATCCACTTGTACACATGTCACACATGCATCCAGACACTGACTGGCAAGCAAATTTTATTAGTCTTGTTCATTTAATCATCTGTCTTGTTGTCTGTTGTCCGTGCTGTGCATGTGAGTGGACTGCCTTAGGCTTCACAAGTGACTCGAGCGCACACTGGCAAATTAAAGCGAGTGGTTAAGTGCATGTTTTTCAGTTTTGCCACCTCTAGTCTACATGATGAAGAAAACTTGTACTCTCTGTAGTCTTCATTTTGATGAATAATTAAATTAAGTCGATGAGCCTCAGTTGTTGTTGCTTTAATACAAAACACTTGAAGTAACAGAGCAGTGGTTCAGCCTCATACAGCGAATCTCACACGTCATACAGATGCAAGTGTAATCAGGCTGTCTTGGAGCTTTCAAAACAGTTGTCCTGGAGCCCTCTGTCCAGTCTGTTTGCTATCTACAAGGTTTCCCTCTTGAACTAAACTTAAAAAATCCCAAAGCATCTCCACATGCCTGCATGAAGACAGTGAAGGACTCTGACAACATATTCACACTGGACGTGGAAACGTCTTGATTTGTCAGTTGTTGCACAAGCAGTCTGGCTCAGTTGCTTGGCCGTTTCTCTGTGCTGGCCAGGAAGTGTTTCTGCTCCTCTGCTTTTTTCTAACCACACATACAGCTCTATCTCTGTCTGCTTGTGTGTGTCTGCTCAACTCTCTTGTTCTCTTTTAAGACACAACTGACAAATATGTGGAATTAGTAAGCATGGTATGCATATTTCTTAAATTATAAGAATCAGATCATTTATATCATAAATCAGATATTCAGAAAAAATAGACCAGATGCAGAAATTATTGCTGCAGATTGCGGGCCAGCTGCAGAGCTTGGAGCCAGTGCACATCAGATGTGAACAGCCCAACTGGTTAACATGGGTGCTGAAAGGAAGCGGGCAACGCTCCAGGGAAAACAAGGGCGCTACATGGCGCTGCCGTGTCCAGCATGAACCCATCCTGAGGCCTTATAAAACACTCCATTACCATGGATGACTTATACACCTTCATACATAGTTATTTTTATTCATGATGACATTCACATGCTTTTATATTTAATAATTTTCCTACAACGCTACACTTAAACATTTACATTGAAAAGTGGACTTGATGGAACTTCATCATATAATGCATGCCTTGGTTTGACTGGCTTTTTATGGCCACCTAGACACAGTTAAAAATCTCAACGTGTTCATGTCATGTGAAGTTCAAGGACAGTGCCTGTGGTGGTTTTCGTTTTAAAAAAAACAAATGGGACCAGAGAGTGTGATCCAATTATGGGGGCATCGCTCAGCTCAGCTTCCTTGGGAGAGCTTATGCCAAGATGCGAGACAGGAGATTGAGGACGATTGTTGAATGTCAGATTCCTCTGATAAGATTCAGTGGTGTGGCATCCATCCTGGTCATGCACCGTGGCTGTTTACTCATGTGAGGATACTAGAGGGATGATGGGAGTTTGGCCATCCAGCCTACATGTTTTGTTTTTATTTTATCATGTCCCCTTTAGTGTCTTGTGGGGGATACTATGGGAGTATGGGGTGACAGGACTGTTGATAGAAACTATCCAGCAGCGTATGACCAGAGGCAGAGCTGTTTTTGCATTTTTGCTGTAAATCATAGTAAATGTTCCAGCTGGAAGATGGGGCTGGAGGAAAGGAAGTCTTAGCCTGCTGATACCCCATAACCTGGGCCTGGATAAGTGGCAGAAAATAAACAGATTGATGTACAAATTATGCATTACAGCCGCTACACTGTGCAAGTTATGAGGACACTGACGTAATACAGTTTATGATTTCTAAGTCTTTGATTTTACAAATATTTCTAAACCAGATAGAGTATTAACAGCATAACAAGCCTATCCTTAAGTCATGTCTCTTCATCTTTCTCTTTCCTTTCTAAAGGCAATACTACCCTGATCCCCATCCTGTCCATGGGGTCCAGCTGATAAGAGTCGGAAAGTTGCAACATTACCTGGAACATATTGAGGACGCTTTGGACACATTCAAACAGGTGTGAGCAGTGAATTATGTTTTACCCACCAAGTTAAAGGGATAGTTTTTGAAGTGGGGTTGTATGAGGTACTTACCCATAGTCATTGTATTACCAACAAGGCAGTCAGTAGTATGCTCCAAGTCTGGAGAAGCAGACAGGATATGAGCCTCGCCTTGGTGAACTCTAAGTTTTTACTGACTTCCATCCCACTGTTTTTGATATAGACCCTCATATGGGAGTCCAGTGCTGTAGCCATTTGTCTTTTTGTCTCTGTTGTGTTTCCTTATTCTGTGTGTTGCTTCAGTGAACAATATTTCTTTTAGTCCCTTGAGCTGAAGTCACTGCACTGAATAGAGTGAGTAATTTCTTTTGTACAATGTAAAGTTGATAAAGTACAAACAGTACAAAGTCTGAGCGTAGAATTTATGGTGGGTGGGGGGGTTGTGTTAGTGGGTTTTTTTTCCTGTTACATTTATTAACTAGCTAGCAAAATTATATATCATCCTTAAGCATTTTCATTTCTTCTTTCCCAGGCTTATCAGATCGTGAAGGTCACCCATGGTGATGATCACCCCATGACCACTGATCTGTTGATGAAGATGGAGGAATGTCACACTGAGATGGGTCAACAGACATTTAGACGTCACTGAGACAAAGCCACAAGAGACAACTGCTACTGGACTCTTTTATATGACTTAAAGGACTAATTTCTTAAAATTTAAATGTTGTTCATTTTTTTTCATACTTAATTAGGAATTTTCTTAAAAAAAAGCTTTGAACTTGATTCCTCATTTTGTAAAAACTGAATGAAATAAGTTAAGGTTTGTGTTACCCACTTTAAAAAGTCGAATGTGTACAGCCATGCATGGCATCTGTTAGGCTGCATTCAGGCACATTGGTGCATTGAGCTATAGATTACCTTGCTAATATTTGGTGATTAGCACTGAACACATAGTACCGCTGAGGCTCATGGGAATGTCATTAGTTTTGCAGTTTTTTTCTCATAAACCAAATTATTAAACAAAAATATATTTAAAAAAAAAAAAAAAAAACTATAAATGTCACCAAAGTCACCTGGGCACCATGAAAGGTTTACAACTGTGCATCCAAGAGTTGTTAAGATATTTCAGTGTGGAACAAAGTGATGACACATGTTAAAGTGTTTTATAACCATACTGAGCCCAAAATATTTCATATTGTGACATGACATATTACAAAATATTACGATCCTGACACTCCTGACACCTGACAGTATCTATACTATGGGAGGCAACTGGCATTCTGATGTTTATCACTTTTGAATCAATGTCATACACCAGTGTTGTTTCAATGTTGTTTTATAAACCTTAAACATTGTTTGAAAATTATTTCAATGTTGAACTTTGACACATTTCTTTCTGAAATTTCAATGTTGATTTTTGAGAATTTTGTCAACCTTTTTACAACCATCAGAATTAAATGTTGTTTTAATGTTCAAACAACAAATTTCAACCACATTTCAATGTTGAAGGTCGGTCGTGTGCCAGTAGGAGTTTGATATATATGTTTCTAAAAGGTTTTACTTATCTGAAACTTTTTGCTCTCTCAGCACTGGAGTAGCCGACATGTTAGAAACTCCAAATCTTTCATCTCTCCTGGATTAGCTGACAGAGAACCATTCCCTGTTTACAGTTATTCAGCATGAAAATTATTATATTTTATTATGCCTAGGCACATGTCAACAGCTGTGGCCGGTTGTGTGTTTGTGCCTCAGAGCTGGTAACAGCCCTGGCCAGAGGTATTATGTTTTTGGGGTTTCTGTCCATCTGTCTTTTTCATTCTCATGAACCCGATATCTCAAGAACGCCTGGAGGGAATTTCTCCAAATTTGGCACAAATGAGCACTTGGAATCAATGATTATCTGATTAGATCACTGTGACCTTGCATCTGTGATCTAATCTAATACTCATGAACTCAATATCTCAAGAAGGGCTTGAGGGGATTTCTTCAAATATGGCACAAACGTCCAGTTGGACTCGGCAGTGAACTTATCAGGATTTGGTGGTCAGAGGTCACTGTGACCTCACAAAACATGTTTTCGGCCATGGCTCCAGAATTCATACGCTAGTTATGACAAAATTTCACACAAACAGGATAAAATGAAGTAAGGTTAAAGGTTAATTTCACTATGACATCATAATGTTCTGCAGAATTGCTTTTCTGGCCATTAGAAAGAAAGGGGAACATATGGTCAGTGCTGAATTGGTGTCACTAATCTCAGGTGTCCACCTTGAAACTGTGCTAATTGTGTAGATCCTCTGTGCTGCCGGGGGGAAGATGTGTGTGAAGCACCCATGCTTAAGAATATGCAGCTTCTTTGAACAAACATTTTTATTGGAAGTATTATCTACCGTCATGCCTACACCTTTGTGTCCAACACAAGCTCACTGGTTTTGCTGATTTAAAGCTTCAGGTGAAAAACTCTATCAGTCCTCTGTACTTCTCTGTAGAAATAGTCTCTAAGTCAAGATCGTGTGTTTCACCAGGAATTATTCATCAGAATCATATATGTTAATATAGTAACAACTTCCATTTCACCAAAAGCATACACTTAGAGTAATACCTTTTATTGAATTCTTTCAGAGTCTTCACTACGTATATTTTATGAGTCTGGACAAACATAGATGCTGCAGCCACCAGTCGGAAATTCTAGTTTTTTTAAATTGACAATAGTTAAAGAATTACAGAAGTTATGGCAGTAACAACAACTTCTTTTTTTCCTGATATGTGTGGAAGAAAAGAGAAAAGACTTTCATTAATTGCATCTTGAAGAGATTGAATGAAATAAATGTGAAGATTGAATGGAGACGTGCAGTAATGAAACTAGTGGACTGAATGGTCTGTGGAAGAGTCTGGCCCGCTGTACAATACTGCTGTTCCTCCCTCCATTACTCACTTCATTGGCTCTGTTTCTCTCTATCTCTCACCCTCTCCCTTTCTTCTCTCTCACCTCTTAACGGCCATCAAATTAGATTTACTATCCCTTAACCATAACCCTCTGTCTCTCCCTTTCTGTCACTCACCGTCTCTCTCTCCCCCATTTTCTGTCTCTCTCTCACCCCCCAAAGGCTTTCAAATTAAATTCACTGTTCGTCGGCGTCTCTCTCTTTCGCCTCATGTCTCTGCAGGCAGCCTGAGCCAATCACAAAGAGAACACCGAGTGGTTTTAACCCATTTTCATTCACTCACCCTCCTGCCATTTGCTCTCCCCCATTTTCAATTTTCACTCTCATTTTGGAGACGCTCCTTCACTATGTGTGTCTCCCCCTTCACCACCTCACATTTGCTCTGGCTTCTTTACTCTCTCCCTGCTAGCATCTCTCACTTTCTCTGTCCCTCACTCTGTTTCTTCAGTCTGTATGTCAAATTGTTAAATCTTTGCATTATTTTATGTAAGTTTATGCATCTTAAATTACTGTTTGAGCCTTTAATAGGTCAAAATCACTGTCTGACAGTTGACTTTTTCCTCTCCCCTCTCAGCTCTGTGTTCCTTACACAAAGAGATGCCACTGTTTCAAGTTATAATAACAACCAGAGACGGTAGATTTTATCTCCAGCATCGCTTCTCGATTATCTCCCTGTGTTTCAGGGTGCAGTGATAAGGAGATGATGAATATATGGTAATATCCATCATCTCCCTTAGAATGAAAAAGCGAGGCAAAATAATATCTCCACGTTAACCTGACAACTTCACCATGTCCTCATCACCTCTCCATCTGTCTTTCATCTTTGATTGGGCTTCTTCATAATCAGAGCAGGCTCTTAAAACCTGGAGCTTGACAGTAAGTGACTCTCATTTAAACTTTATTATGAGCCCTTGTGGAGCTGAAAGTTTCTTTCATAGTGGCTGTAGCCACGTTGGCATCTTGGCTCTAGGGATGTTTTTCTGTCATCAGTTGGTCGGTCCAACTGCGTTCTTTTGCTCTTTTGTTTTTTTACTGCAAACTGAAGTTGCTTAAAAAATCTTGTTTGAAAAGAACAGAGCAAGGTAGAAGAAGAATGTTAAGTCATCTTTCTTTTCTGAGCGCATATTAAAGTGGTCTAAATCTGTAGAGGCACCTCTCTACAATTCAGCTGCTTTGGACGGTTTGGGAGGAAGACTACAGAGAAGATTCAGTTTTATAAAAGAAAATTAAAGCAAAGGCTAGATGGACCTGATAGTTGTCAAATTCAACTCATGCGGTTATCTGAGGTAGCTGATTTTAGCGAGAAGGGAAGTTCAGAAAAGAGTTCATTTAGTGAGTTATGATCGCATATTATTTGCCTAAAATTACCCAGTAGTTCATTCTCTTACTGTATTTTCAAGTGTTTGTCTTTTTTTTAATAACCTAAAATCCATCTTATTTCTCCTGCACACTTCCAGCTCCTCCTCGCCATCTCTCTCTTCTCCCCTTCTTCTAAAACATAATCCTTTACTCTTATTCTTTCTCACTTATCTCCCTCTTTCCCTGCGTTTCCCTTTTGTTACTCTCTTCTCTCATCTATTCTCTCCCTCTTTCTCCAATTCCTTCTTTCACCTCCTTCCTGTTCCCTGCTGCGTGTGGATGATCAAAGCAGGCTCAACAGGGCATTCTGTCACCTAGGAAGCTGCCTACAGGCTGGCAAAGGTACACACACAAACACACACACACATAGTAGGAACTAATGATATCTTGTATATAACAGGCAGACAGTGTAAGATCAAGCACATTTCCTTGAGTTGGGGGAGTGGATTTATCTTCTGGAGAAGCTAGCTAGAATTCATTAGGCAATAAGAGGTGCATTAAGGTAACTCGGTAATGTAGGAAATATAGTAAAGGACATGGCTGTGAATATACTTAAGTTCCTCTTTTTTAAAGAAGTTTTAAACATGCAGAAGTTGTTAAGCTGATAGACAGGTGCAGATCATGCACAAGAGCCTACATGTTCTGCAGTTACCTGGTTCATTTTTGATTGTTTGGTCCGTCATTAAACTTAAATTTTCTCTATATGACTTATGTCACTTCGTATGATGCCTTTCACCATCTGGACAAACAGCTATAGATCTGTAAAGTTTATAATGTTTTTAAGTCATAATGCAAAATGTAAGTATCCCATCAGGAATGGGACGGATGTCTGGTGCTTTATGCATAAATTCTCGTCCATGGACGATGTGTTCAAAGAAGGAAGAATCAGATGTGAAACTCTTTCAGTACTTTTCTTTATTTACATCCCTCCATCTTGCTCTTCCATCAACACAATGTGTCAGACCACATTTCTCATAAACAGTCAATCTGCAGAGGACTTTGTGCAGTCTTAAGTCATGGAAACAACACACGGACAGTGAACACCTCACACTTCAGTTTCCACTGAGCATGTGCAGTAATGCTGGGCAGTTTTCATAGGAAATAATTCAGTCTTCTACATAACAGATTGGCACTTTTAACTTTTAACACACACAAACTAGTTTTAATCGGTTACGTAGAGATTTTTCCGACCACTGACCCACTGTCCTACAACAACTTAAAGTGTCTTACAGCTGCTGATGAAATCTGTTTCTGGAAAATGTGGTCTGACCCAGACTTAACACACAATACTGCTTAAGAACTCAAAGATGCTATGTGTCAGATTTCCAGATAACACACTATAATTCTTGAACTCTCCTCCAAAAACACATTGTTAATTTGTTCATTAGACTGCGTTGTTATTTTTTGCCCTTCAACCTGATATAACAGATGGCATTTTGTGAATAATTTTATGTAAAGCACCTGACAATGAGTGCGTCTGTTTTGCCTCCGATGAGAGAGGAACGCTTGTTCCTGAAAGGTTTACGTGGACAATTATGTTAGCTATAAACAATATGGGGCCACCAAAACCTTTGCCGTTTGTCACAATTATTGCTAGAATTATAAAGCGCTACCACGGTAGAGTTGGCACTGACACATCGAGGGTGAAACCTCACACATAGCATCTCAAATCTGGAAACACGTACAGGCCATGTAGCTTAACCAGAGGCTGGGGTTCCCAAAACATCCACTGCTAATTACACAAGGCTGTAGGTAATACTGTAGGATATACTGGCATCTCACCGAAAACAACACAGTTTTCTTCTTCACATGTAAAAAAAATTCATCAGCATTTTTAAGTTCTGGTCCATATTTAATCGACTGAAATTTCTATTGTGCTGGAATCACATAAGTACCCTGAATGTGAATGTTTTAGGAAACCCATTAAAGTCTCCAACAGGAACAACAGGAGCAAACGAAATCAACAGAAGATATATAAAATAAAAATGAGCGCATATATGATATGTGTACAGTATATATATTTATATATGACATGGGCTCAGCAAAGTATGTACAGTTATTT